TCGACCGCATGAGTAGGTGTCTACGAATTAGGACAGCCAACAGTGCGGGGCAGTAGCGTAAGCTGACGACGTCGACTGTAACCCATTAATTGGGTAAAAAAATAAACATGGGTGTAAAAGTCTCCTAGATGATGATAGGGCCACCACCTACTGATATACAGTGCGGGGCAGTAGCGTAAGCTGACGACGTCGACTGTAACCCATTAATTGGGTAAAAAAATAAACATGGGTGTAAAAGTCTCCTTAATCATNGTATTGATTCTTATAATCTATTGTTTGACTATTATGTCTTGATTAAAATAGCTTTAGTTACATGCCTAAAACACCATGACAACACATAGATAAACCGTTAATGAAACATAAGGAAAGGATTTCTGTTCGAGTGTCTACAATTCAGCCATAGGCCTGTAGTGGGCGTACCAGGCACTGAAGAACATGGTGAATAGACCTGCACTTCCGGTTTTCCGGCAGCGATGATTTCTTGCCTGAACTGACAGCATTAAATCCCCGTTCAGACTCCAGTAACTGGTGTTGTATGGTCATTCTCTTCACATTTTAATCTATTCAACATGCATGTGGTTTTGTCACGATTTCAGTTAACGAACACTCAATTTTCTTACACTTTAATTAAACAACAAAACCATTAATAATTTGGGTTTCGCTCCAGTATCAATACTTGTAAATGCATTTTTCTTTTTACATTTCATTGCAACAAACATTTCTTCTGCTAAGCTGCTCAACTTATATCCTTCGTTCTGTGATAAATTTCAAAACACCGTTGTAAAAGAAAAAAAAAAACAAACAAAAAGAAACCCCATTTTACCCCCCATAAAATAAAAAATAACTATGCCATCTTTGTTTTGCTGTTTAATTTGTTGACGGCTCAATTAATTCTGGGATACAGTCAGCTGCGTAGGGTACTAAGATGCAGCAGACATTTTCGGGGTTTTGTTGACCGCATGAGTAGGTGTCTACGAATTAGGACAGCCTACAGTGCGGGGCAGTAGCGTAAGCTGACGACATCGACTGTAACCCATTAATTGGGTAAAAAATAAATAAACATGGGTGTAAAAGTCTCCTTAATCATGATAGGGCCACCATCTACTGATATACAGTGTGAATCAAAATGGTTTTATGTGATGTTGCTWATTTTCTTTTTACCCAACTTTGTTTTTCTAAGAAAACTTAAAACAATCTGTTCACTTTTACTTCTTGTTTCTTTTTGCAACATATTTAATATATTAAATATTTRTTTGATTTTTCATAATTCCTCTATCCATCTTCTGTGTTGTTCATACTTCTGGCATACTAAAATGATGTGGTCTACGGTTTCTTCTTGTCCGCAGTGCTTACATCAACCTGTGTTATGATTTTGGATTTTGTGTAATGTGTTTTATCAGTGCAGTGTGTCCAAATCTAGGTCTGCTTATTAATCTTTCTTCTCTTCTCATTTATTCCTCTTGTCTGAACCCTGCAATACCAGCTTCTTTGTTGTCTTCTTCCCACTGTATTTCAATGCAGAACTTACAGAAAGACAGGGAACATAAGAGGACACTAACGAGGCAGAAACGACCAACACCTGGGGAGAGACAACGAGGATCAAGGGAGAGTGGGCGGGGCAGGAGCAGGAACTGGCAAAACTATTTAGGCAACACACAAGAAACAGAGCTCCCTAAAGAAATGTATTTTATTTTAAGGCAGTTTGTTTATTTATTTGAGTTATTTTATTTCCCGTCTATTCCATATTTCCAGTCAAGTTGATGGTGGTAATGCAATTGAAACGAGTTTGACAACTGCTAATAAGAAATCAAAAGAAGAAACACAACTCAAACATAAATATATGAAAGGAGAGGAAAATAAAACAAATCAAGAAGAAAAAAATACTAAAAGATCAATTCAAGGAAGAGATAATTGCAGATTATAAACCCTTTAACCACAATAAATATGTATTTGAATTTTGATCTTAGATTTTATATTCCAATCATTGTTTGACTTGTTCAGTTTTCATTCTAGATTTTACATATTCTAAATTACTCTCATTAAAAAATGACTTTAATTTGTATATTTTCCCCCATAATATGAYTGTATCAGTATGCATGCATGGTGAGCCTGGAGAAAACCCAGGGCCTTAAACTGTKTGGAAGGCACTTTATAAATTACATTGATCTCTCAGTAGACCTGCATCCTGCCTGACACCCTTTCTAATACCTTTTCCTGCAGATACACAAAGCAAATGACACTTTGTCCTATCGTTTTATGTTTCCATAATTGTGTTTTTGTTCTGTTTTACTGCCTTCACCTTCACACAGTAATGTGCACCTGGTACAGCTTTCTCTTTCACTAATTTATCATAAGACTGAAGTTATTTGTTTTGCTTGGTTGTTACCTGTCATAATAAATAAGAAGTCTTATTGAGGAAATTGTGATCGAGAAGGCATTGTGTGATTGGCTGGGAACCAGGATGGTGTAATTTTCCACCATAAAAACCTTGACTATGTATTTTTATATGTATTTGTATTGATTTTTTTCCCCTTTTTGTTAACTAAGCTTTAAAATATAAACCAGATAGTTTTTTTTTTTTTTTTTTTTGGGATGAGACAGAGCAGCTGGAACGATCTATGTCCTGCTTTTCTGCATTGGTGACCAGGTGCCTCTTATCAAAACTATTCTGTATTTCAAGAGATCTCTTGACTGTAGTAGTGTTGACATGTAAAGTGTGTTTTCTCTCTTTTTTTAGACTGACTCGAGTGTGCTGTTAATTCTCAGGTGAATGAGGGAGTCGAGCTCCCTGGCTTACACTCCTCTTCTGGCAGTTCTGATGATGGACTTCAGTGAGATTTGTTTCGTGCCAGAGACCTGGAGCTGTGATGCTCCTGAAGCAGTCAAAACTCTAATGAGTCTCCTCAGAATGTAAGGCCCTACTTGGATTGTTATTGACTGACTTGCTTTTTTTACATCYGTTGCAACTATCCCACTGGTACTGTCATTTGTTAGACAGATAAAAGTGCTTTGGTGCAAGCTTAGTATATCTACATTAGATTGCACAGACTACCTGAGATAATGTGCACAAATGCATGCATACCTCTTAYGATCAAAAGGCATTTAGAAGCCTTCAGAACCACACATGGATGTGGATTCATAATGCAACCAATTTGTCAGAGGACTACAACAAAGAAATAAGTACAGGCTTCTAGTAACATACACATGTGCAACTAAATTTCCAGTTTAATCTGCAAAAGCAGCAGAGATTCAAACTAAAGAGCTTTTTAACGTAGCTTCATTAAACATCAGAACACTTTTTCTTTACAATATACTGTTTAACACAGCTTATTGGTCACCCTGTATAACTGGTTCAGACCAAAGTCCAGGATTTGAGACATGGTGGAATTAATCAGTGGCTGTCAAAATATACTCTATACTGATTTGGGCTTGGAAACCAGTAGGTTTATTTTATTTATTTATTTATTTTTTTGTAGTGAAATTTCACCTTCTTTTTACACTGTGACTATTTTACAAAAATACGACATAATGAATAAATGTACAGAAAAAATGTGCTTTGCATGTGCAAATCACATATTTTCAAACATGAAAATGTGTTAATTGACACATGTGGACATGAAACAAAAAAAAACAACAGAAACTTAAGGAAAAATCATAATTACCCCCTGTGAAAACATAAAACCTACATGTTAAACATTTTGATTATGTTTCCTGCTCACGTGATTCTGAAACATAAAATAATGGTGTTATGATGTTTTTTTTAGGGTAATTTTGATCCCCCCCCCCCTTTTTAGCTTTTTTCTAGCAGTGGTGTTTAATATCATTCTCACTCACACTTAGGCAAATGTTAAAGTCATCAATGAACCTAACGTGCATGTTTTTGATGTGTGGATGGAAACTGGAGTACCCAATGAAAACTTATAAGTGGGCAAATGTGAAAACTCCACACAAAAAGGTCCCAGCTTGGAGAAACAAATGCAACAAATCTACTCTAACCACTAGCAGTGAAACAGTAAGTCAGTGAATATTAATAATACAAGACTACTGATCAGATTGTCTATAACTGTATTTAGAAGATTGATACGCATTGTGTCTCTTCCATTAATCCTTGTCTCCTGTCTACCTTATCAGAACTTAGTGTCAAACTTCTATTAAAAACCTCTAAKAAAATGTTTTAAACCCGTTTTTAAGTCCTTTTATTTTTTTGTAGCACAAACGATAACTGCTTTGGCATTTTTAAATATCTTCGAAATTTGTGCTWTTTACCACCTCTTTTCTTTTCTTTTCACAGTTTGTTTACAGCAAAAAAAAAAGAAAAAAAAATCAGTGGTCAAAATTTCTCTCTGGGAGAGGTACAAGGAAAGTGAGATGATGCAGAGGTGTTGAATGTCAGATTTGGTGGACCATATTCAGTTTTCATTTTATTAGTCTAAATCATTAGGCAGAGAAATGAGCAAAGAATATATAGATGTACAAATTTGAAGAGTTGTATCATAGGGTTTTATAAAAAACCTACTCTTAACACTGGCAAATAGAGACATACTTTCATGGGTACAAATGCATGTATGCACATACACACTACATAAAGAAAATTGGGAACATTTTGAAAGTAAATCATTGCAGTTTACTTTAATATACACAGCAAAAATGTATTTGTCATATAAATGAAATACTTTGCATGTAAAAATGTAGTCTCCACACACAACCTCTTCCCAAACCCAGCTAACGAGGTGCTAACTTGGTTCAGCATTGTGGCAGTATGACAACGGGGAACCTGGAGAACAATGTKGCAGGAGGAGCTGCACATGTGCGAAAACAGGCTGGAACTGGTCTAGAATCAATTTTCATCATCTCTGCTGCAGCTGCCGCCTGGTTAGGTGATTTAAAAGGTGGACTGAACCGTGTCGTTACGGAGGCTGGAATGAGTTACGTTYGGTTGTGAAGAAAGGGGTGTCGGGTGTTCATGTGGTTGGAAGGCTGCTCCCGGGGCAGAAACTTACCCCTGCAGATGGTGCCATTGCCCACGTATCCTGGCTTGCAGGTACACAGGTGTCCTCTGATGGTGTTGGTGCAGATGGCATTCTCATCGCACACATTTTGGCCACTCGCACACTCGTCATGCTCTGTGGGAGGAGAGAATAACTGTGAATATGTGTGCCTTTGATGTGTAAAAGATGAAGTTGTTTTGTTTACAACAGAGAAGCAACAGACATTTTACTCTGAATGGAAGTCAAGCCGCTACTTGGCTGAGAACGTAAAGCCATGGCAGATTTTATTCTGACAACAGTTGTCTTTTTTGGATAGCCATGTTTCCAAACATTTTTTTCTTCCAGCTTGGCTGGCTTACAATGGAATTGGAGTGCATGTTGATTTGTGAGAGAAWTTTTCAATGTTAAAAGCTCTGCTGCTTTTTCTGGCATTCTTTCACTTAAAACCCGTCATTAGCAGCAGAGGCATAAGTAGCAACACCTGATGTCTACCAGGTGTGCCAACAGACTAAGTGGTTAGAAAGAAACACAATTAGACATCTGATTTAAGGTTGGACACTGCAGAATTGAGAAAATGGATCAGCATGGTATCTAGTTTTTTAGTATTTTCTTTCTTTTACTATGAGATATTTTCCTTCCAAGGTTGATTTAATCAATTTTTCATCTGGAAAAAAAAAACTTGTCTTGTCAGCAGATTATTATGATCCCCGCATGCAAGCGGGAGTCATATTGTTTTCGTACTGTTTATTTATCAATTTTTTTACTTTTTTCTCCAGAGATTTTTGGTCAACCRTAGCACAAAAACGGCTGCACCGATCAACATGAAATTTGGCAGGGCTGTAGATGAGTCTGCCCTACACTGCGCCAGCCAACGGTTTGACAATAGACCCCATATTTGAGGAGGGGGCTCCTTTCAAAGTGGGGGTGTCAGAACATGCAAAATTGCTTATAACTCAGAAAGTGTTCAACAAAGAAGCTTCAGATTTCTTTTGTTTAGCTCTGATGAAGCTCTATCCATCAGGCCCACCAATCAGTGCCCCCCACCCCCTGAAACCCCCAACTTATCTGAAAAAGGGGTGTGTAGACTTACAAAAAGGGTTATTGCTCAAAAACTATTAAACATAGGAGCTTCTGATGTCTTTTCTTGTTTAGATCTGATGAGGGGCTATCCATCAGGTCAACCAATGCCCCCCCCACCAAAAAAAAAAGACCCCCATACAAACCAGTACAATTTTGGGACGCACCTATAGCATGAAATTTATTAGGAATAAAAACTTCTGAGTACTGGTGCATTTCTGCATGCGGGGGTCATTATGTTACCGCAATGCGGTATAGAGTTTTATGTAAGGTTGATTGGATGCAACCATGATCTGATTGCATTCTATTCATACCATAAAATAAATGATAAAATATATTAACAAATTTCCCTCCATGTGAAATCTTTGTGGTAAAACTGTGAYGAAAATCTGTTCAGTGGAACATCTTCCAAAAGCACTATGTTGGAAGAGCTAAGCTGATTATATTCAATTGTTTTTAAAGTAATACTGTGTAAAAAAATCTCTTTCCTTCTCATTTGTAATTAAAAGCATGGCATTCCTTGGCAAAATGTATATCAACGTATGCCTTTCATGGCARAGTTTTARACTGAGATTGTTTTATGCTGAGAAATGATGGAGTTGTAACATTTACAAATAGAATTCACATTTGCACCAAATTTTAACACAATATCTGTAAACTGGGTTGTCACCCGTCCTTTAAAATAGGGAAATGTTCTTTATTTGGCCAATGAATGTTGCATCCCGTATTGAACCAATACAGGACACGATTTGCTGCATATTTTTGTAATGTCCTTTCCAAGCCAAAAAAAAAAAATGCTACTTCCTGTTGTCAGGGGCAGGGCTTTGATGATGTCATAAGACCACATAGTACGCAACATGGATGACTCATATCAGGTGTGGTGTATTTTAGCTTTTTTATGTGACAGTTGCAGCTTTCTGAAATTGTAACGGATGGAGCTACGGACAGATGGAGAGAATTTATAAGTTCCTAACTACAACATWATTTGATTACTAATGATTTAGCCTAATGATCTATTTTTTATTATTAAACTGTGATTTGGTTGAAGTACAGTCTGATTTGAGTGATGTTACAGTTGACTCAAATAGAATGTGCTCTCTCTTATACTTAGTTAATACATGCGCCCCAATTACACTGAGCACACAAATATTTTTCTCATCAGCTGACAGGAAGTGTGTGTGAGAATCTGGTGTTGTTGACTGGGAGCCCCACCCCCCCCAACCCCCATGCACCCTAATCTGACCTTCAGGAGATCAGATTAAATGAATTGAGATAGGCAGAGGTGGGGGGAGGAGCTTCTAGTAGGCCACATGGGGATAGTGGGTGGGCACAAAGCTGTAATCAGTTGTTTGGGAACAGAAGAAGTGTTTTCGGGCAGCAGACAATAAGAATTTACCATCTGCCTTAATGTCCGCGGGTACATGCGGCACGGTGGCTCAGTGGTTAGCACTGACAACTCACAACAAGAAGGTCCTGGGTTCGATCCCCGGTTCGGACCTGGGGTCTTTCTGTGTGGAGTTTGCATGTTCTCCTCGTGYTTGTGTGGGTTTTCTCTGGGTACTCCGGTTTCTCCCACCCCTAAAACCACATACAATATAGGCTTCAAACTCAGGCCTCCCTTGAAAAAGAGATCTGAAATCTCAACGGGACTTGCCTGGTTAAATAATGGTAAATAAATAAAATAAATAAAAAAATACATCTCAAGGTGGTGAATCCAATCAGAATAGTGTGGACAATCCTGCCGACCCGAGCTCTCAGATTCTCCAAGCTCAATTCCATCTGGCCAGCAAAGTCCAGGAACCACAGCCGGCCCGCGACCCACAGCAGAACCGCTTGCAGACCTTGTCCCATCTCGCTCAAGGCAAAAGTCTCAGTGCTGATAGTACGCAATCCTTCATATTGGTCAGACAGCCAGGAAATGGCCTGAATAGCCACCAACGTTGTTTTGTAGAACACCAGGAGACCACCAAGCCAGTCTGTGGAATCCAGTGATCAGAATCCAAATATAAATCCAGCTAATTGAACAGAGGCCCCACCTTTGAAATGTTCTCCCATGGAAAAGAATTTGTTCCAAAAATTAATTAATTAATTAATTAATTAATTTCATTTCCTTGTAGAAAATTTCCAATTATTTAAATGGGTTGCATTGATTCTTTGAACTGATGAATGCTTCTACAATAAAAAAAACAATGCAAAGGTTAGCAAAATATATATGTATCCAGAGTTCTAATATAAAAAGTTGACTGAATAAAAAGTTTAAGTATGTGTATATATCTTATAGTCTGAAGGCCAATGGCTGATATTCCACTTTTTATGAAATACAATTTGCTCAAGGCCAAAACAGGTGGGTTCAATATAGCTGTGACTAATTACCACAAAAGCCAATTTAGTAAACAGTAATTCTTCATTCTGCTCTTGAAGAATAAGAAATACTCATACATAGCTTTTTTTTAACTAAAGTTGTTTTGCTTACTGAACAGATTGTAAAATAAAGCTGACATTTAAAGTTTTTAAAGGTTGACCATGCAGTGCCTGTTTTAAACCCTTGCAGGTTCTGTAAGCTAGGCTACATTTAACAAATACTGTAATAATGTGTATATCTAACATTTGTATATTATCTGATTTGTTTTGTATCAGTATTATCTAATTACAATGTTGTCTGAAATACATTTAACTCAAACCCTTGTACACATTTGGAACATGAGATTCCTTCACAGAATTGTTTGTGACTAAATATCACTGTAACAGTGATTCTCACACCAAGAAGGGGAGCAGGGACAGGGAGGCTGTGAAACCACCCCTCTATTCATTTAATTTAAACATTCAGACATAAAACATTACAAGCGGAACACATCTTAGGCTTTGTTGCAACTCTGACTGTTTTTGTGATGAATCAGAGAAAACAGGACAAACACCAGATGGTGTGGAGAGTGRATCCACTCCTTACTTACTACAGCATGAAGTTACGGACAAAAATCTGCTGCTTTAAACAAATTATCTTGCTGTTGGGGTTACAGTTAATAAAAAAAGGATTTCTAAAGAAGTTGTGTTTCTGGAAAATGATCATTTAAAAGTAATAGAATTTACAGTATGTTGATCATCGGAGGTGAAAAATAATTTTCAGAAACAAGTTCTGTGACAAAAAAAACAAACAAACATTGTGATAAAATGACATCACTCATCAATAATGAAGAAACTCAATATTTCTGCCAAATACCTGTTAATACTGTTGATTTTGGAACAGACTGAACTTTAATAATATRAAAAGTACAGGCGAGATAAATGTAGTGCACTGTGAGAAGGTATAAACTCATATTTGTTTAGTTTTTCAGCACTGATTAAACTTGAGTGTTATAGTTTTTAAAAGGTTATTACACTTATTAATTTTATTTCTTAATATTTAAAGTGATGGAGCAGTCTGTTTTTTATTCATCCAGCAAAGTTTGTTATTTGTTTTTCTTCTTAGGATTATAAAACACTGAAGATGTAAAATGTCACAAAAGAAGGTCACCTGTTTGACACAAGAAATGTTACAAATTGTGTAAAAAAATATATTTTTAATCCTACCGTAAATCATTGCCAAAAACTAAAAGAAACAAACTAAAAAAATATCTGCAGTAATGATAGAAAACTTTTATTAGCAGAGCAAACTGTAAGTCTCTCATAAAATCTTTTTTTAGGTCTTTGCAAAAAATTATTTTACTGTTAATAATTTTTTCTTCCAATTACTAAAATACAATGAKCAAGATTAAAAGGTTGTGTTTCTCATTTTGGCATCAAGTTCTTGTTAAGTCTTGGGTTGTAAATCCATCACACTTGTTTCCTCTCTATAAAAGCCTAAATCTCTTCCTGACAAGCAGGATATTTGGTTCGGCACAAGCAAAGATAATCAAACGAGACCCTCTGGTGCTCCATAAGTCAGGAAACCTTTATGGGAAATCATTGTGGTTTCAGCAGTTACAATGATGAATGTGTGTTAGCAGCTTTGTTTAAGTGTCTTTATTAGTTTGTAGTGTGACAAAAATAGTTAGCATAGATTTTGTTAGCAAATATGGTAA